AAGGAAAAGTATGATGTACAGGAGCAAGACACTACTAATTTGCGTATAGTTTAAATTAAACAAATTAAAAAATATGATTAAAAATTGCAGCCCGGCATTGTGACGATATCACAATAAATAATTGCTCGTTTGTGACGCAAAATCGTACATACATTTAATAATTCACAAGATATCGGAGTGTTTAATATATTNATAAATTGGATTTTTGAAAATTAGAACTGAAAAATAAACTATGAGATGAATTTAAATTTGTTCTTATTTAAATTAAACTTTTCTACGTATGTAGTGTATAAGGTGCTACTAATTTTATGTATTTCTAAGACAGAAAATTTAAAAAATTCTTTTGAGTGTAGGTAACGTATATTACATTAAGTGTGAAAGATATTAAGTCTATAGATGTAGTTATAATTTGTCAATGATGATTAGAGATTAAGAATATATAATGGAAATGTGAATAATTCTCACATATTTAATATCTCTAACTGAATACTTCTTGAACCAATTTCCATTAAGAACTTTTATGACTAATATCTTGTAAGAAGAAATAAAACTCCTGTATTTTCAGTGTTTTGAGTTAAAATATCGTAAATGTCAGTAAATATTTCAGAATATTTTACCAACTGTTTAATCAAACGATTGTTGAGGCAGGACTTAATTGGAACAATTCTGTCAATGACAAAAAAATTAATTTTCTCTAATTTGCTTATTGTTTTATAATAGATACAAATTGAATTGTAGATGTACTGTCTTTGAGAAATAACAGAGGAATTTTTAATAGTGTTGCACAGGAGATTTATTTTCTTTTACAAGATATTAGTCATAAAAGATCTTAATGGAAATTGATTCAAGAAGTATTCAGTTAGAGATATCGAATATGTGAAATTATTCTTATTTCTATTATATATTCTTAATCTAATCATCGTTGACAAATTATAACTGCATCTGTAGACTAAATATATCTTTCACACTTAATGTAATATACGTTACCTACACTCAAAAGAATTTTTTAATTTTCTCTCTTAGAAATACATAAAATTAGTAGCACCATATTTGTTTGTATTCTNGAATATTTTCGTTTTTTTTAAAGTTTAGATTTTAATTTTAGCACGTACACTTGCCAATCTTTATGCATCTAATTACATAAGCGACTAACAATTTTCTTTATTCTTATGTAATTGGATTCATAATCTAACAAAGTTATATCCTTGATAAAACTTCATAATTATACGAATAACTAAAATTCCGTGATTGATATAAACTTTTTTTATAAATGTAATGTTGCCTATTAACTGTGTATATATTTTAATTATTTTTAAATAGAAGCGGTCATAAACTTTAGTGTAAAACTTCTGAATATTTCAGTTATGTTTAGTAATTAATTGAATTTAATACATTTATTCAATTAAAGGATGAATACAGAATGAGGATAAATTTAGTCATTTTTCAATATTTATTACATCAAAATTTAAGCATGCTTTTACGGACTTGTATTCTAATTTTAGATACAATTTTAAAATATTTAAAATCCAAGCTTAATTTGCCGTAAATATTGGTAAGTTTCGTTTAGATGTAAATTGCCGTTAACGTTTGAAAATAAGTATTATTTTTCCCCTGTTTTTTGTTTTAATAAAATCGCTTGTATGCATCGAGAAAACTCGTTAATATATGTTAATCGAAGGAGAATTTATGACAATATAGCCAAAAACTACATTGTGCTGACAAAGTATAAGCTTTAGTGAGTGCAAAGGCACGTAATTCGCTAGTGAAAGAATCGATATTGGTAGGCTTTTTGCATTTGATTCCTTACAGAACAATATTTTTGTTTAATAAGAGGGAGAAGATTGACCGGAAGAAGTTGACAGAAAGAAATTCGGCACACAAACATATATTCAAATAAAATAGATGATGGAAGAGGAGAAGTAAAACGGGAAGAGAAGAAGTAAAACTTGAATCGATTCCAAGTTGAATGTCATCCAAGGCCATCTTATTGTCTGCCGCGCGGTCGCATACGAAACGGTAAAAGATGACTAACGACAATTGTCCACGACTCGGTTAATTATGCAGATTCTCTGCTCTTCGTAAGGAAGATTCACTCGCATGACCACGTTTATACGAGTTAATAACATTCTCCGACTTTTAACAACTGATTGCGCGTATAACAATTCGAACGTAGCTTATTTAAGCAATAACTTGAAAACTATCGAGGCGAGACAAAATATAGGCTGTATGAAGTGTCGACAAATGCGTAACAATTTATTATAGTTGGGTAATAATAATTTTTATGTTTCGTAAGTGTTTCGATTTTTAAACTAAAACGAGTAAATGATATTGATAAACAAATTGAATTCGTAGTACTTAAAAATTGTTATGACTACTCTAACTGTTTCTATTATTTACCTACCTAGATTATACTTATTTTTATTGTTTTATTGTTAAAGTAATTATGTTTTTTGGCACTAAATACGAATACTTTATAAAACTTTTCCCTATTATAATGTGTCTATTTACATAGTCTAGTAGGCTATATAAGTATTGTGTATATATATTAGAATGCTTATGTCTAGTTTAAAATAAAATCATTGTAAATATTTGCAAAACTGTCATGCTAAAAAACGACATATTTTGTAATTATTTACAGAAATTTCTTATAAATTTCACTTTTTATTCTTCTAAATGAGAATTTTTCTAAACAAACAATATTATTTTTATTCTTGTATAAACAAGAATTATTTGAATTATATACTTCTTTGTATTAAATTCTGTATGTTAAAAAGGATCATCATTCATAAATACGCCTCTGTAATAGAATAGGTAATTTATTAAATGTTGTTGTGTAAGCAAAAATTATTATTGTAATTGAAATTAGTTAAGTAACTTGCGGTTACGTCACTCGTAAAGTTGTCTTCGTAAACTTCTACAGACAACAAACAGGTGACGACCACCGTGTCTTATCGATTGGAATGACAGATAGAATCATCACAAAAGACGATATAAGGCACGCCAGTTTATTTGACGAGCGATATTAGCCATTAACAAAAGACATATAATGCCTCTTTAAACATCATTAACTGACAAATCTGGATTTGGCTTACAATTATGGCGTAAATAATTCTATCAGACATTCCTAACACACAAAGCCATTTTACAAACAGATGTGTACAATGATTTTCGTATATTTATATAACTCGAAGAATTGTTTAACTTTACTTAATTAACTCAGTAATGGCGAGATGAAGATGTCAAATTCGATTTCGTGTTGAAAAAAAGGAAATATTTCGTCTCCTTCGCTGAAATTATTCAATCCGCTGTTTTATAAACGGAATAAAGAGTAGTATTTACCGGCTGAATAAAGCTTTAAGATCGCGAAATAGAAGTTTTTTCTTCAATTTTTCGTTTATCAAACTCGTCAAATCAAAACCACTTTAACCTATATACTAAGAGTGGTTTCTAAGCAACATGGAAACTGCTTGAAAGGAAAGACCCGGATATTATAATTTCCTTAGACGTGGAGAGGAGAAAAGTGTGCAAGTAATTTTATGGGAAGAGAGAAAAAACCGTCGAGAATAAAAAATATATGCGAGAAAAAAAAATGAGGCATCGATTGAGTCAACAAATATTTACTATTCGAATCGAAAATCTCTCCAGCAAGAGCCACAACAAGAAAAAAAAAATATTGAAATTCTCGTTTCTTAGAATACCAAAGCCTTGAAATTTTTCTTTCAGAATCAAAATATATGATTGACGGAATGGACTAAATCCTGTCGAATCGACAAAATCTAACAAGATGGAATAACAAAAAGTGAATTCCTGCCTAAAAGAGAAATGTCGCCATCATAAATAACTTCTTCTTTTGTATTAATAAACTGTATTTTTTTGAAAAAAAAAATGTAATCATATTGACAAAAGACGTTCACGAAAAGTGATAGATCCATATGGAAAACTTTTGCTTACACGACAAAGCTGTTAGCTAAGAGTCACACAACTGTCATACTTCATAATAAGATGACAATAAAACCATTTCTTCCGGAAGAAGTGACTAAGAACACACACGAAACTTATTTTTGAAGGATTTAATTTTCTACGCCGGCAATTGCAGTTAAATTGGGAGAAATAAAATAATAAACAGGATACGAATAAAATTAATTAAGTTATCTGTGTTGAAATACAGCACAATTATCTTAACTTATGGCCTTAGTGTGATAAGATTACTTATCTTATCGGCTTATATTTTTAATATAAAATTCTTATTTACGCGAAAACTCTCGTTTGATGAATAAGAAAACAAAATATATTTATTTGAATTTTCGAATAACTAATGAAGAGTTTTGATTGATTTTGAGTGTAATTAAATATTCTTATCGTAAATATATTACTTTCTCTATGTACAGTATGTATATATTTAAATTAATGTTTAACAAGCGCAAGTTTGACATTAAACATTAATATTTTACTTTCTTCGAACGAGTGTTTTCCATTTTACTTTCTTTTTTACTTGCTTAACACCTTTTTTTTTCTAAAAGCGGTGATGCGAATTAATTTAAGAAACATCTTAACTGGAAAGGTCACGAAGGAAGTTCAATGCTATTTCCTACTCTGTTCTTTTTTTCTAGACTTAAAATAGTTGTTTCTATCAATATAAACTAACTAATCTTTTTTCCTGTAAGGTAGAAGAAGAGTTAGCTATTTAGAGTGTACGAAAAGTTATTTTATGTTTTTTTTTAAGGAACGAAAAATATTTTAACTATTGGACTGTGCCGTACTGTAGAGAACAGTGTAGAGAATGCGTATCGAGAACATTGTTCTCATTGAATTTTAGCTTGAATGAGTCGTTATCTCGACAGTCGAGGTGTCTGTGGGTATCGCACCTCGCCAAAACTAACTAAATCACCGCGACACTAACTAAGTTATTTTAAGGAATAGAATTTTGGTCGAAGAAATTCGTTCTTTCCAACAGGCAAAGTTAAAATCAAGTAACGAAATAAATTTAAATTATAACTCACATTTTTCGGCATTGCTCATGGCATCCTGGCTCTTATTTTTTCCTTCCGTTTTGCTCATAGACGAACCGGCGCAACCCATGTTTTTTTTGTTTGTTTTTTTTAAATTTATTTTTGATAGTTCTCGACGTTTATTTAAAATCGAAACTGCAAATCTGAAACGACATTTAAAAAAAAAAATTAATTAAATTGAAGAGAAGGTAAAAGTAAACCGGGTGAATTGGTAAAATTAGCGACACACCATGGTGAGGAGGGAAAGATGCTCGGATACGTCAGCTCCGTTAGAGTACGCGCGCTGCTCTGAGACCTGGAGAGAATCTACGATATAATTTGTCGTTGCTGACGTCACGCCGTGATGTAATCTAGCGCTTCGTCCTTTTGGCGCCACGTTTCGAACAATTTTCTGACATTTAAAGAGAACCGAAAAATGAAAAAAAAAATCCCAACAAAACTCTAATTGAGAGCCACTTTAACACTTTACGAAAGCCACTGCGTTCTTAAAAACTTGTAGAAACAAAAATAATAATATCTATAAAAATGTGTTTGTATTTCTAATAGACAATATCTAGAAAAAATTTAGTAATGTAATTTAATGTGTTTATCTATTTATATAGCCTATACAATATTGCATACTACGACAATGTCTGGGGTTCTTGTTACTTTAGTCAATACCAGTCTGTGGCGAGTGATAACCCCACCAGTCACACTATAGACTGTGGCTTCCAGCTTTGAATTATATATTTTTACAGTGTATAGAATGGAGCAAAATTCAATTTATGTATATTTACATATGTGTTAAACAAATTATATTAAGTAAAGTATATTATTCTAGTGAAAAATTACTTAATATACAATAAATTGAATTTTGCCCCACTTTATATACTGTCTGTAAACACACTACATATCGGCTATATGTAGAGCCTATATGTATATACGTACAGTACATACATGTAGAGTACAATACTACAAAAGCTAGTTTGCATATGCATGGAAAAATTGCTTAAGTACCCTGTCTTTATTGATTATTATTTAATAATATTATTGTCTATTTGTTGTTTGTTGTATAATAACAATTATATTGTTTATTTGTTGTTTGTTTATGTTTAGTTGTATATTGATTTTGTGCTTTTTTTTATTATTTATACGTTTTGCTCCACATTGTTTACTGTTTTTAGTTTTCGTTTAATTCTAGTTTGAAAAATAAATTGGAAAATTAAAATTGGAAATGGAGAAAGATATGAAAGTATTATTACGTTAATTATTCTTAATAAAATATTACAATTATGCTTCCGTTTAATTGACTTTTGTTACAACCTGATATTCTTGAACGTGTCGATTTTAAATTAATTAAACATTAATTAAGCTTTGTTAATTCAGATTAAAGCAATCTTTTAAATAATATGAATTTCTATTGAATCGAAAAACTATTTTTTTCGATCAAATAGAGTAATTTCGTTAAAATTTTTTTATAATATTCATGAATTCGTTCAAAGAAAAACCATTAATACAATGATTTTATAAATTAAAATATATGGTTTATCATAATTACTGTATTTACATCTTGTATCCTATTAGCTTGCAATTTGGCTTAGCTGACTCCGGAGACAATATGCTGCTAAGGGTACAATGAGTTCACAGGGGCTTTGTATAATATACAGTATATGTAATTATAAAATACACAATATATAATATGTACTGTACATGTATATAAATACATGTAAGAATTTGTCTCTAGTGTGTGTTGCTATAAACAGTTTTTTTATAATTATATATATATACTGTTGGAAAAATTCTTTCTTCTGTAAATAAGAACAAAAGAAATAAATGTCGAGAAATGTATTTCTTTTTATCGAACAATTAGTCTGTAGTTTTTCACTTCAAAGAAAATTATCTGAACAATTCTTTTGTTATGTAATTAAAAGAAAGTTAACTGCCTCAATCCATCGTTTATATATAGGCCTATATTAAAAAAATATTTGAGTAAAATTATAAACAAACAAAGACCTATTCAAAATAAGAATCAATTGAATAAGTAATATTATTATCAATACTAGACGCAGAAGAGCTATATGACCCACATACATTAGCTCTAGTTTAAACCGTAAAAAAATCCAGCAACGAGTTGCGTAACTTTCCCGGCAAGAAAGTTAAAATCGTGTGTTATGCCATCTGTTATGAGATATTATTTTAAAACTTTTTATATTTTTGACTATTATAAAATGTCAAAAAGCTTAATTTTAAGGGTATAGACGAGTTTTATAAAACAAAAAAAAATTGTAAATGTTGATAATGAATTAAATTTTCACGAGCAATTATTTATTGTGATATCACAATGCTGGCTGCAATATTTAATCATATTTTTAATTTATTTAATTTAAAATATATGTTCTCTACTTCAAATTAGTAGTGGCTTGTCCTTGTATATCAAACTTTTTTGTTAGAATAGAATCATGCCGGTTATCTAACTCCTTTCAAGGAAAATTTTTGAATTGGAATAACGTGACTTCCAATTTGCATCAGAAGTTCTTATGTAGTTAATAGGGGCCACCTGCTCCTAACTTTTCACATTTGGTCTCGGCTTTCATCTATTTAACTCCGTTTGCGAGATTAAGAAAAGACTGACAGATAGAGACGACAGTGGTAATTTCTAGGTCTACAACAATTTTTTTTTTCAAATTGCAGCCCAATTAAGTCCGACCCACTCCAGTTATAACACACGACCCCTTCTATTTCCCCACTCTCTTGATCTTTAATCATCAAAATTTAATAAAATCAATGCTCCCAACCCTGCAAAATTTCAAAAATTTTCGAGAAAAGGCACAGGCGTTATTAAGATTTAAAGTGAGTGAACATAATCCTGCTCACCATACATACAAGCATTCATACATATCCACACACAGAAAATAACTGCATTTTTTTCCATTTCTCGACGTTACAAAGTTCCCAGAGTCCAAAAATGTAAAGTCATTTTTTGAACTTTCTCCTTGTTATATATATAACAGCCGGGAAAGTAAAATATTATCATCCTAGCTGTAAATATGTAGTAGAAACTTACTAAAATAAGCTTCTGTTTTAGTTTAGATAGACCTCATTCATTTACATCCTCACAAAATAAATAACACATAAAGTATTAAATCGAAAAAGTTTTAAATATTAATTTATCTACGTTATACGCAGCATTTCGCCCTTATTACAAAGTAATGTCAGTTGGGAAATGTTTCCTTTTTTTTCATTTTATATTTAATGACGGCTTAACTAGAAATAGATCATCATCAGAGGGAAATTTTGCTTATTTATATCAATATAAATGTCGCTTGCAATTCACTAATTATTTAAATAATTTCTTTTCTGTTTACATCGTTAATAATCGATAAGAGTTGTCTCGATCGTCTACTAATTAATTAAATGAATTACAATTCTGTTCAAAAGAATTTTAAATATCGTTCACCTCTAAGCCGATTTTTGTTTTAAGATTTATGATTCGTCGATGGAATTAATTTTGAAGCAGTAAATATTTTAAAATTTATAAATATTTTTTTTTAATTTAACAAAAGGGATTTCGTAAAATGTCAATAGAACAATACAAAAAATTATTGTAAAATTTTACTCGATAATTATAAACTGTAAAAGTTTTTAATTCAAAATACATTTCTAAATAATAAGTTATTTAAAAAAAAATCCAGTAACGAGTTGCTTAACTTTCCTGGCAACATTTGATGGTGCCATCTGTTATGATATTTAATTTAAAAACTTTTCATATTTTTAACTATTAAAAAATGGCAAAAAGCATAATTTTAAGGGTATGGATGGGTTTTATTAAAAATTTTAAATGCTAATAACCAGTAAAATCGTCATTAAGTCTGACCCTACTCGAGATACGACACACGACTCCATTATCTCCCCACCCCTCGACCTTTAATTAACCACTAAAATTTAATTGCATCGATCCCCTAATAAACAAATTTCCCTGAAAAAATTTCAGAAAATTTCACCAATAAGCGCAGGAGTTATTAACCTTCGAAGTGGGTGAAACAAAATCGTGCCCCCGGCAATCCATACACAGCAAAAACCCCGAATTCTTTTGCATTTCTCGACATTTTAAGGTGCTCTGAGTCAAAAAATGTAAAAATCTTGGGGAGTCATTTTTGACCGATTGCCATATTTTCCGTTTTGTATATCAGAGCCGGAAAGTACAAAGCAAAACGGTAGTAATTGGTAATTGGAAGGACACTGAATTTTCCGTTTCACGTCACCAAATTCTTTAAGGCTCCTGTTCGCTTTTAAATATTTTTAATACTTTCTTATTATCTATACCTAATCGTTAAGGAAGATATATAGGCCTAATACAGTATTTACTTTGAGCAATATGATCTTTCAACATATACTATGATCTTTATTCATAATATAATTTATTTTGCAAAGATTGATCCTTCCACATCAGGTATCAAAGTTCCTGTATTCATGTTTTACACATTGTGTATATTGTCGTATAAGTAATATTAATTTATATCAATGTAAATTTAATCAAATAGTATAAATTTCTTGCGTCTTCTTAGAGAAACTTTTAAACATCTCAATGAAATGGTACTAATTAGATGCACGGTATAGGTATTACAGAATATGACGATAGCAACAGGATCAAGCAATAACGTGTCATTAATTGTCATTGTGTCATGTGTGCCGGTTGGTTATTGGATACTGAATATTAGTTATTCCCCGTTACTTTATTAACTTAATTTACTAGCTCTCAGGTATTTGTGATATTAGTAATGTATCATTAATTCCTTGAAAATTCCTGATCCATCATATATTAATTGCCATAGTTTAACAATACTGTAGAATAAACTAAAATTGAAATGACAGATGGTGAGGAGGATAATCAAAGAACGAATCCTATCAATAAAATTATAATTTTTGAAACGGAGTGTTAGTGAAGCTTCGTCTATGAAGCTTACAGAATTATGTTCGTTCTCAAAATCCGTTTGATAGATTTTGATTAAACTTTGCCATTTTTCATTAATTACAATGCGGAATCAAAACTGTAATAAAAAGTGGGGGTCCGTGACTTCGTTTTCGATATATAAGGTCGTTTTTCCAGCGCGCGTGACAAAACGATATCGCACGAATCGGTCGATATTTACGGTCTCTAGCAATTCTTGTATGGACTTATAGAATCGAGTTCGATAAATTTTGCCATTTTCCATTAATTGAGACGAGGAAACTAGAAATGCAATGTGGTTCATTTAAATGTAAAAACATCCAGCAACCAATCGCTTAAATTTCCAGGCAGCATTTAAAATTCTGGTGGCGCTCTGTTACGATATTTCATTTTTAAAAAACTGTTTACATTTTTAACTATTATAAAATGGCAAAAAGTTTAATTTTGACGGTAGAGATGGTTTTATAAAAACTCGTAAATGCTAATAACGAGTAAAATCATCATTAAGTCCAACCCTACTCGAGATATGACATACGACTACCCCTTATCTCTCCA